CTGTCTAGGTTGGTCATAACTTTCCTTCCAAGGAGTAAGCGTCTTTTAATTTCATGGCTGCAGTCACCATCTGCAGTGATTTTGGAGCCCAGAAAAATAAAGTCAGCCACTGTTTCCCCATCTATCTGCCATGAAGTGATGGGACCAGATGCCATGATCTTAGTTTTCTGAATGTTGAGCTTTAAGCCAACTTTTTCACTCTCATCTTTTACTTTCATCAAGAGGCTCTTTAGTTCTTCTTTACTTTCTGCCATAAGGGTGGTGTCATCTGCATATCTGAGGTTATTGATATTTCTCCCGGAAATCTTGATTCCAGCTTGTGCTTCATCCAGCCCAGTGTTTCTCATGATGTACTCTGCATGTAAGTTAAATAAGTAGGGTGACAATATACAGCCTTGATGTACTCCTTTTCCTATTTGGAACCAGTCTGTTGTTCCATGTTGAGTTCTAACTGTTGCTTCCTGACCTGCATACAGGTTTCTCAAGAGGCAGGTCAGGTGGTTTGGTATGCTCATCTCTTTCAGAATTTTCCACAGTTTATTGTGATCCACACAGTCAAAGGCTTTGGCATAGTCTATAAAGCAGAAATAGGTGTTTTTCTGGAACTCTCTTGCTTTTTTGATGATCCAACAGATGTTGGCAATTTGATCTCTGGTTCCTCTGTCTTTTCTAAAACCAGCTTGAACATCTGGAAGTTCATGTTTCACATATTGCTGAAGCCTGGCTTGGAGAATTTTAAGCATTACTTTACTAGCATGTGAGATGAGTGCAATTGTGCAATAGTTTGAGCATTCTTTGGCATTGCCTTTCTTTGGGATTGGAATGAAAACTGACCTTTTCCAGTCCTGTGGCCACTGCTGAGTTTTCCATATTTGCTGGAATATTGAGTGCAGCACTTTCACAGCATCATCTTTCAAGATTTGAAATAGCTTAACTGGAATTCCATCACCTCCACTAGCTTTGTTCGTAGTGATGCTTCCTAAGGCCCACTTGACTTCACATTCCATGATGTCTGGCTCTAGGTGAGTGATAACACCATCGTGATTATCTGGGTCGTGAAGATCTTTTTTGTACAGTTCTTCTGTGTATTCTTGCCACCTCTTCTTAATATCTTCTGCTTCTGTTAGGTCCCTACCATTTCTGTCCTTTATTAAGCCCATCTTTGCATGAAATGTTCCCTTGGTATCTCTAATTTTCTCGAAGAGATCTCTAGTCTTTCCCATTCTATTGTTCCTCTATTTCTTTGCATTGATTGCTGAGGAAGGTTTTCTTATTTCTCCTTGCTATTCTTTGGAATTCTGCATTCAAATGGGTATATCTTTCCTTTTCTCCTTTGCTTTTCGCTTCCCGTCTTTTCACAGCTATTTGTAAGGCCTCCTCAGCTATTTGTAAGTCCTATGTTGGAAGGTGGGGGTAGGGGTGCTCCGCGGGGAGGAACAAGTCCAGGATTTGGAGGTGGGTGACTCAGTTTGAGTCCTACTCTGTAATGTCTTAGCTTTATGGAGCTGGACAAGCCTCTCAACCTTAGCCTCAGTTTCTCCATCTATAAAATGGGTTAATCACCACCCACAGCCCCCCACACCCCTGTCAAAGAGACTGTTGAGAAAACTGAATGAGAACACACAGAGGAAAAGGCCAGCTCATCAATGAAGTGCTGTGAAGTAGTATTTATTGTTACAGTGTTAAAATTCACTCTTGGGAAGACATTTGGGGCCATGACCAGCAATTAAATGTCAGGAACATCATCCTAACTCATGGACAACTTGTTTCCGTTGCAGCCACAAACTCCTGGGGGTGTTAGGGCTCAGGAAATTCTTCTCATCAGCCAACTGCTGGGAAGGATGTTAGTGTCAGAAGATGCTAATTTGCACAGGGCTTCTTTTTCTTGCCACTCAACTGCCAGGAGCCCATTGGAACCTTGAAGGGCAGAGCAGAAGTGATAGTGTCCAGAACATATGGACTGTAATGGGAAGGGGGAGAGCAAGGCTTGGAACATCTTGCCAAATCATCCCATTCTGCTGGACCCAGCCCTGTTCAGTGACCTCAAGATGTGGGGTCACTATTCAGAGGCCCCTTCCATGCTGGCTGGGCTGTGGGGAGAGCCCTTCCCCTCAAGTTCATCTGGTCAAGGTACTCCTGTGGCGTCTCCCTGTCTCCTGCACCCTGGGGTCCAATGACTGCAATGGTGAGACAGATTTCTGGGGGAAAGGCCCTGCTCAGCAAAGGACATGGGAGCCTTTCGGAGGCGCACAGGGTTGGAAAGCTGAGCCTTCTTATGGCTCCAGCCCCCAGCTACTAGGAGGAATATGGGGTGTCTCTGCCTACCCTAGTTCTCCCCAACTTCTGGCAGCAACTATCTCTTTGGATAGGGCCAGCACCCATGAGCACAGGTGACATCACCTCTCAGAGAAGCACATGCACATGGTTCCCAGGTCCAGATGTCATGTCACCACCCTTAAAGGACCAAGACCATGACCCAGGCTGTTTGGACAGGATGTGGCCAGTCACTGTTCCACGGGTGGCCGCACTGCCAGCCTTTGCTAACCAGCTATCAGGACCTCTCTGCCGAGTCCACATGCCCTGCTCTTCTTGCCTGCCCTTGTAGCAGAGTTGACATTTAGGATTTTTCCCGCAGACAGAGCTTTCCTGATTTAACTGTATGGAGCTTGTTCATTTACCAGCCAACCCATCCTCATGTTGAAAAGTCAGTTCCAAATGCTCACCTGACTGCCAGGGATACAAAGAATTGGGCAAGCGAGAATGTGAACTTAGAGCATCATTTGGACTATAAGGCACATTCAAGGTCGCCCATATTGCCCCAGGCCTGCTAGCCGAACGCTGAGAATGTTTTGGGCAATGCCATTCCTTCCAGTGACCCACCCCAATTGTCCACTTGCCCATCTTGTCCCCAGTGGGATTGAGTTGTGGAACAACGCATTGGTTTCATATAATCAGACCTGCATTCAGGCACCTCCCTATCTGCCATTCCTGCTCACCTTGTGAGAAAAACTGCCGTTCAGGTTTGCTGCTTCCTGAGAGGCAGACCCTGGCGCCCCTGTCACCCAGCCTGTTTGCTGGCCTGGGAGTGACCTGTGGCATCAGGTTAGAGGGAGGTTTTACTCTCCTCTCTGGGCTGTGGGCACTGCAGCCTCAAACCCCACGTGTGTGGCTGAATGTCATAAAGATAGTGGATTTGGAGCCTCAGCAAAGCCAAGTCAGGTTCCAGAGCCTCACTCCTTGGGCCCAGGAATCAGACATGTGTCCCTAGGAGGTCAAAAGTTCAGACCAGAGTGGGCATCGCCTGTCTACCAAATAGGCATTTGGTTTCCGATGGTAAGAAAAGCTGTGCTTGTGTTAAGTTTAGAATATAATGGTCTTCAGCCTCAGGGAGGAGGATTTCTTAAGCTCATTGGGCCTAGGTTTGTGCTTTTCCCTCGCGGGGAAATCATCCATTGAGTTGAAGAACAGGTGCTTTGACGGTTCTTGGAGGCCGACCCCTGCTTCCAGTCTTGGAAATTCCAACCTTTTATAGACTGGCGGTGCCAAAGGCCTCATTGGAAGTCGAACATCATGGTTCCAAATGAATCATGTGCTTTGATAACCAAAGTGTAAGTGGAACCCCAATACTGTCTGTCCATCCCTAATCATTTTTCAGTAATGAGGTCAATGAATTCAAGTCTGAACACAGGAATCAAACTGGTTTTCAAGGGCTGTGGGATTTTCCTCTTTTGGGGGTCCAGCTCTATGGGGGCCCTAGAGAGCTTGCACATTAAACATGCCTTGCCCTCCTTGTGCACATTGCTCCAACCAAAACAGCTGGAGAGAATGAGGACAGTGTCAATTCTGTGTTGTAAATGGGAAATGAGACACCCATCCCAGACCCCATAACTTCCCACCTGTCTCCTGAGAGGGTACCAAATGTTACAGACGTTAGCAAGTGTTAATCCTCACAACATTCCCAGGAGGGAACCAGAAATATTGTAGATGAAGATGCTGAGGCACAGAGAGGTGAGGCCACTGGGAATAAGCCACACAGCAAAACAGCAGGAGAGTCAAGAGGAAGGCTGGGGGTCCTCTCCATCACCTTAGTGGCTGGTGAGACTCAGCTCCGTTAGGGCACTGGTGAGCACACCTGTGTGTCAGGTGACAAGGTCTGTTGGGTGCACAGCGACACGCATCTCCCTGCTCTGCGGTCACACTTGGGACAAGTTGTCACAGACCGAACTCAGTCATCCCCAGTCTTGTTGACACGATGTCCTTCATCCAGATGATGGGGTATCCACACTTCCAAGAAGGCTGCTGCTCAGCCCCACCTCTACAGGGATCATCGCCATCCCTCCCCAGGGGAGGGGCTGGGTAGCCCTTCAACACATCCACGCTGACATGACACAAGGCTTTTAAGATTTGAATGACCTTCCTGTTTTGCATTCTCCCAAGGGAGATTCAGCGACCCAAGTCAGAAACTAAGTTCTCGGTCATGGAGGGCATGTATGTGGGAGCTGAGACCACCACCAGGCTGGCTGGAAGGGTCCACATGAGGATGGTGAACCCCCAGCTTTGCAAGCTCCTGGAATTGTCACCACTGGGCTCTGTGTATCTCGCTAGAGTCCTACCTACTCCTCTTGGGATGGTATCTTGGGGAACCCTGTGCTTCTTTATACCCAGGAGGCTTAGTTCAAGGCTCCCAGGATCACTTGGACTGCTCAGTGGCTGAGTCACTCAGTGGTGGAGCCTTGATAATAGAGGTGCTGGGCACCCTGATTGGTCCTTCGGGCTAGTCTTCTTCCAGGGAGCAGGGAAGTCTTAAGTCCGCTCCAGGCAGGCAGGCTGGTGCCCCCTTGTTCCGTCAGGATCCCATTCAAAGTCACAGCAGTCTGCTGAGATTTCCAGGGACCAGAGGAGCATCCTCAGGCCGAGATGACTATGTACAGTGGTGACGGTCCCGGGATGTCCTTCCTCCCCGGGCCTCTCTGTGTTGGGTCTGGTGGAGCATCTGCTCCTTACACGTTGGTGACCTCCAGGCCATTGTAGCCCTCCAGACGGCACTGCTCCGGCCTGCCCTGGGAGTCCTCGTCTCCGCAATCTTCATTTTGAAGAGAGCCATAGTCATCATGGAAATCAGGGTCTTTGTTGCTGAAGCCCCTTCCTATTTTTCCCAGGGGCAGCTGAGAAGAGAGGAAGGAGAACAAAGGACAGGAAGAAGAGAAAAAAGAATTGAATGTTTTTGGATCCGAGAAATGTGGTGTCTCCAATTACTGTGTGTCCTTGAGTAGCTTACCTACCCACTCTGTGCTTCTTCTATGAGTAATAATACTCCATTGCTCAGGGAGACTGAGAGGAGGTTTTTGTGAGTTAACCTTATGTTGTATCCCCAACCTGAAGGAACCAGTTGGTTGCCAAGAGTGAGGACAAGTATAGTCTTTCTGATTATCCATCAAAGTTTCTCTCTTCCTCCTCAGCAGGATGAAAGGTGAGAATGTGCGGGTATGAGGTCTGACTGCATTCCCAGGTCAAGAAGAAATATTCTAGACGTGGCAGAAAAAGTGTGGGTTTTGGTGACTCAGAAACTGGGGTTTGGATCCCTGCTCTGCCACGTCCCAGCTGTGTGACCTTAGGCAAGTCACCCGCCCTCTCTAAGATTCAGTGTTCTCAGCTACACAATAGAACTAGTAATTCCTTTCTCTCGGAGTTTTTGCAAAGAGTAGAAATCCCATCTGGGAAGCACATAACAAGGTTCTGGCCACGCCATGTGTGCAAGCTCAGTTGTGTCCAACTCTTTGCAACCCTATGAACTGTAGCCCGCCAGGCTCCTCTGTCCATGGGATTCTCCCGGCATGAATACTGGAGTGGGTTGCCACTCCCAGGGGATCTTCCTGACCCAGGGATCCAGCCTGTGTTTCCTGCATTGGCAGGCGAACTCTTTACCACTGAGCCACATGGGAAGCCTCAAGGCACTAGCAGTGAGAAGCTGTTATTATCAGACACGGTGGACCCGCAGTAAATATTTCTCTCTTATTTTCAACAGATGTCTATTGGAGTAGTCGTGACAGCGCTGTGTAATTATTTATTTATTTGACTGCCTTTCTTCCAGATCAGTGTTTCTTAACCTTTTTTCCCATTATTGTCCCCTTTAAAAAGATGACCTTTTACATATTTTTTCCCTAATCACACCCCACCATGAAATTTTCATACCATAGGGCCTCTGTGCATGTGTATATGTGCCATGTGTATATCTGTGCTTTACACATAAAAAGAGTAAGACTTTCTGCATCCTCCCCACTGAAAACCAATTCTGACCACTTTGGGGGTGATAGGACCCCCAAGTGGGAAGGTACATTCTATACTGAAAGCATCTTAACGGTGAGGATGGTCATTTATCCATGCTTATCGCCCATGCTCAGGACATGTCTGGGACGCACTTAGTACCCAAAACTGTCAGCTGAATGAATGGAAGAATTTTGAATTACCCACTTCTGCTGTCTGTGTCTACACTCACACCTCCATTTAAGAATTTGTGTCACTCTGAGGCCCAACTGAGCATGGTCTCATGCACCAGAGGCTCATCCGCTGCTCTTGTTCAGGCCATTGGAGTTCCAAATCTAAGGCCCTTAGAGTTTGGGGTGCGTTGGAACCCTCTGGGCAGGCTGGCAGCATGCAGGTCCCCCTCGCCCCAGAGGCTCTAGTGTCAGGAGGCCCAGGTGGGTCCTGGAGTCTGCACGTTAAGCAGCCACCCAGATGAGTCTTATGTAGGCAGGTGAGACTTGCACTTTGAGACAGTGTCAAAAGCCCCACAAGGCTGAGTGTGTCTTAACCATCATGTGTACCCCTGAAGGTGACTTCCAGGGCCCTCCTCCCAGCTGTGCGTGTGACCTGGTCCATCAACACTGCTCCACAGCGGGGGCTGGAAAAGGGTAACATGGGCCCAGACAACACAAAGGCTGCGGGACCCCCAGGAAAATACATGGAGTGACCTACCCGGCCAGCCTTGTACTTGATCCCACCGCTGTTCTCCTCCTTCCCTGCCCGGGTGATGCTGGAGGCCCTCCCGGGGGGTGTTCCAAATCGCTCAGCTTCCCGGATGCCTGTGCAGCTGGGGAGACACCCATTGCAAGTCAGTGTGGCCAAGGTGGCGGGCCAAGGTGGGGTCAGCTACTGCGACCCAGAGACACAGACACTCAGTCACTCACACCGGTCACAACGATCACAACTGCAGTTCACTTAGTACCTCTTATGTGCCACCACTGTGCTAAGCACTTTACAAACATAATCCTCACAGCATACTAGAGGTCCAGCTTCCATCTCTGCTGGAGAAAAGGGGGCACAGAGAGGCTAAGCAATCTGCCCAGGATCACACAACTTGGAGTGTGTGAGCAAATCTTGCAGAGCCAAGATTTGAACTTTGGGGTCTCAGAGACCCCCAAAGTCTCTCTTCAGCCCCCAGGACCCTGCAAACCCTATCAGGAGAGGCAAGACATGATGGGAGAAGCCCCACATTCCAGCTCACTAGGTGTAGCTTGAGAAACATCAGGAAAGTTTCCCCCACTTTGCATTTGAAATCTGTGTCCCCCACTGACTCGTTGTCTGAAGTTACCCCCATCACCCCCTTCCCTGTATAAAAGCATCAAAGGTTTGTTAGACTAGGACTTGGTGAACTACAGCCAGTGGCCGAATGCAGCCAGCTGACAGATTTTGTAAATAAAGTTTTATTGAAACCTAGTCCATTTGTTTGCACGTTGTCTACAGTTGCTTTTTTGCTATCACATCTGTTTTGACCCAGACCATATGGCTCCCGAGTGCTAACATCTTCACTGCCTGGCCTTTCATGGGAGAAGTTTGCCGAGGCCTGTGTTAGAATCTCAGGGCTAGTGTGTATGGGATATGGAGTTGGGGTAAAAAAATTGGTTCAGAGCCAGGAGTTTGGAACTTAGTCCTCCCACCTGCCTTTCTTCTCTTTTAGATTCTGGGTGAACCTCAGTATCCCTGGGGCTCCTGTCCTTTCTTTGCCTGCAGGGTTCTCCCCAGCAAGGGCAGAGCCTTCCGCACCTCTCCTGCCAACTTCGCCAGTCCCAAGACACTAACATCCAGTTATCTTCCTTGAGGCTTTAGCTGCATTGAAATCCTGGCTTTTCTCTTTACTGGCTGTGTGACCTTGCGATCATCGCTTTGTCTCTCAAAAGCTGGGTTTCTTCAGCTGCCAGGTGGAGAAGGTATTAGAGCCGACTTCATCAAGTGATTACGAAGGTTAGTTAAAAAGTACTTTGGAGCTGAGCTGAGCATCTAGTAAATGGCTACAATGATAATAATTCAAATTAACAGTTATAACTTTAATGACAGAGGAATTGGCTTTGGCTGATGGGCAGTCAGGAATTGGCTTCGCAGGAGCAGTGAGGCTTGGCTCAGGCTACCACGGAAGACACATGAAGAGAAATGAACCTTCTAACACCTGCCTCAGAGATGCTCTGCTTCTTGTGGGGGGACTTCTGCTGAGAAAGTTCAAGGGAGGGGAGGGTGTTGTGCAGGGACCCACACTGGCTGCTGGATGGCAGATGAAGCAGAGTTCTCAGGTCCCCAGGTGCCAGGGCATCCCCAGCACAGGGAGGTTCTGGCTCTGTGGTGGGTCAGGGACCGACATGTTCACTGATACCCCTCCCCTCCCCTCCTCCTGGGGATGGAACCCCCTGGGTCTAGTGGGGAAAGCTGTTCAAACTACAGAAGCCATGACAATCTAAACTCACACAGCCAACTCCGTTTGCTGTCTGGTGAGAAGGACATTAACCCCCCCATTCCCAATTTATGGAATATTAGCCATTCCATGAGCTTGGGAGAACTCCAGAGTCCCTTCTTAGGTTTTTCACTGAAAAAGAGATGGGAGTTCAGAGGGGATGTGTGTCTTATACAAGGATATACAAGATACACAGTGGCAGGGATGGAACTTGAATTTGAACTTCTAGGAACAAGATCTAGACCTTTTTTTCTTCCCTCCTTGGGGGTCAGTGTAAGACTGTGGACTCCACAGCAGTGGCCTGGCTCCACCCCCTTAGCAGTCATGCCCCCTGAGCTGTGTCCTCTGTGAAGTGGGGTTAATAACAACCTTTCTCTTATAAAGTCACTGGAGGATTAAATGAGAGGACACATATAAAGTGCTGAGAAGGGGCTGCACATCATGAGTCATTGCTGTGACCCACACAGGCATTGAGGGGTACAGACCTGACTTGAGTCCCCACTCAAGGCACTGCACATCCCCTAGCTGTGCCCTTGTGTGAGTTGATTCCCTGGCTGGGTCTCACTTTCCTCATCTGTACAGTGGAGCCCAGTACTCAGTTCTGGTCTTAACAGACCATCCCCTGGGCAGAAAGTGGCATCTTTGTGGTGTAGACAGAGGAGCACGGGGCAGCTGCTGCCCCCACTATGCTAAAACAGCTTTCCTCTTGCTTTTCCACAGCGGCTAAAATCCTACCCTGTTCCTCCTTTGGGTTAAAACACAGATGCTGCAGGGACTAAGTCAAGTGCAAGGCTACGGCCCTTGGAGGCTTGAAATGGCTTATTGAGTAGTCCCAGTCTCTTTGTCAAACCTTGAGGGAGTGGAATGCTGGAAGGATACGCTTTAATGAGGGAAGTTTCTGGAAGACAGAGCATCTCCGTGCAATTTCTTGAGTCAACACAGAGGGTGTCTGGGGCACTGAAAAGGCATCCTGTGCAGGTAGGAGGTGGCAGGGGAGAATCAGACTCTGCCAGCTGGGCAGCCTGAGAGCTGAGTCTCACCCAATTAAACGAGGGTTTACGAGGCCCACGAAGTGCAAGATGCTTTGGTGGAGATGAGTGGAGTAGGGGAGGACAGAGTCTTAATTGGTTGCCTACTGTGTGCTGGGCATGACTCCAGGTCCTTCCTGTGTGATAGCTCCTTGAACTCTTCCCAGGGTTCAGGAGGAGTGACTGGTCCCCTTTCAAGATGAGGGAAACGAAAAACCTCAGATGATGGAGGAGGAGCCAGAAGTCAGCCCCAAAGGCCCTGCCATACCCTCTCCTTACAGAGGACCACGATTGCAGGCACTGACCACCCCAGGGCCTGGGCTCACACTTCAGTGGTCATCTGGGGTGGGGTAGGGCAGAATATTATAAACCCCACTTTCCCGTGGGTACCCCCAAATCTCTGTGTGCCTTCTCCCACTCCAGCTCTGGTGATCTGCGGGTGGCCTGGGACTATTCCCCTTTGCCTGCTGCTGGGATCCCTCAGACCGGGGCCACATGCCAGCCCCAGAGGTAGAGCTGTGACAAGGCCTCTTACTGTCTGGGCTTGGGAGTTGAGTCTGTCTGAGTTCATAATGAAATCACTCTCCGTGGAAACGCTAATGAGAAAACTGGAGCAAAGTGACAGAAAGCAGAGCCCCATGTAACTAACTGAAGAGGAAACTGCTTCACTGAGACACTCCAGCGCTCCTGGGAGGTCAGGGCACATGAACTGTCAGTTATCGTGGGGCATCTCTGCTTCAGGCACTGCGTTCACTTTGCCTCACCAGTCACACTCAGGGATGGAGGCTCAATATAGCAGATCCACTTCATTATACACAACACTGTAAAGCGACTATCTCTTTAGTCGCTCAGTTGTGTCTGACTCTTTGCGATCCCATGGACTGTAGCATGCCAGGCTTCCCTGTCCATCACCATCTCCCAGAGCTTGTTAAAATTCATGTCCATTGAGACAGTGATGCCATTCAACCATTTCATCCTCTGTCGTCCCCTTCTCCTCCCACCTTCAATCTTTCCCAGCATCAGGATCTCTTCTAGTGAGTCGGCTCTGAATCAGGTGGCCAAAGTATTGAGCTTCAGCTTTAGCATCAGTCCTTCCAATGAATATTCAAGACTGATTTCCTTTACAATTGACTGGTTTGATCTCCTTGCAGACCAAGGGACTCTTAAGAGTCTTCTCCAAGACCATAGTTCAAAAGCATCAGTTCTTCGGTGCTCAGCCTTCTTTATGGTCTGACTCTGACATACATGACTACTGGAAAAACCATAGCTTTGACTAGACAGACCTTTGTTGGCAAAGTAATATCTCTGCTTTTTAATATGCTGCTTAGGTTGGTCATATCTTTTCTTCCAAGGGGCAAGCATCTTTTAATTTCATGGCTGCAGTCACCATCTGCAGTGGTTTTGGAACCCAAGAAAATAAAGTCTCAGTTTAAAAAACTGAGGGGAAAAAAGGGAAACACTCAATAATCAGAAAGAGACTTATTAACCAAGAATTTCTGGATCTAGCTATTCTACCTTGAATGTGCCCAATTTCTGAGCCACTAGTAAACTTCTGTTCCAACTGAAGACTGATCTAAAGAAAAACAAAGTTCCCTGGGAGGGCCCAGGGGCAGTGAAACCACTGCCTAACAGTTCCTCTGTTGTTCTGACCACTCTTCCTACCCTTTAGGGAAGCAGCAACGTGTGGTGCTTTGAATCCCATCTCCCCGGTTTTTATCAGCTAACAGCCCCAGGCAAGATGTGTAATCTTCCTACAGTACCTCAGTTTCCTCATCTGTGAAATGGGGCTCATGCACCCACCTCCAGAAGGTAGTGACAATGTGCTAGGTTCTGAGCTTGGCCCATGGCAGAGCTCAGCAAATGGTTATGGTAGTTTGATAACCTCACCTTATAACTGCATCTGGAGGGGGAAGGAGGAGAGAAGGGAGGGAGATGCTGGCTGACTGTTGCATCCTTGGACATATAAAGGCATACTTTTTGGGGCCGTGGGTCATAAGACCACAGGATGGGAAGGGGTATTTACAAGAGAGATGCAAAGCTTGTCTGAGGCCTAAAGATTCAGAGGCCTAAGGGCCACTCTTCTCAGGCCAAATGAATGAATCCCCCTTGGCTCTGATCTTGTGTTAGTGACAGAATATACCATCCTTCAGGCAAGTGCTGGAGATAGTAATGCATTTTCATCCAGGCTTTTCTTCTGGTTCCTGTGATGCTCCAGTGAATGCCTTTGAAATAGCATGGCTACCTCCTGCATCCTTTTGGTCCACTGGTTTATTTCTCTCTCTTAAAAAAAAATTCTGTTTCTTTAACTTAAGCACAGTCCTATGACAGAGTTGGTAGTGA